TGAATGACCATCTAATTTGGCTTTTTATTATCCTGTCTTAACATCCCATAAACGGATAGAGTTATCTGAACTACCAGATGCTAATGTACTACCATCAGGAGAGAAATTCACTGAAGTAACAATTGAAGAATGACCATCTAATTTGGCTTTTTATTACACTGTGTTAACATCCCATAAACAAATAGACTCATCCTAACTACAAGATGCTAATGCAGTACCGTCAGGAGAGTAACAAATTGAAGTAACTATATTAGAATGTCCATTTAATTTGCCTTTTTATTATCCTGTCTTAACATCCCATAAACAGATAGACTCATCCTAACTACCAGATGCTAATGTAGTACCATCAGGAGAGTAACAAATTGTTTTTACATAATGTGAATGACCATCTAATTTGGCTGTTTATTATCCTTTCCTAACATCCCATAAACGGATAGACCTATCATCACAACCAGATGCTAATGTATTACCATCAGGAGAAAAACATATTGAATTAACCCAACTTGAATGACCATCTAATTTGGCTTTTTATTGTCCTGTCTTAACATCCCATAAACAGACCGACTCATCCGAACTACCAGATGCTAATGTGGTGCCATCAGGAGAAAAACATATTGAATTAACACGATTTGAATGACCATCTAATATGGCTTTTTATTATCCTGTCTTAACATCCCATAAATGGATAGAGTTATCATCACTACCAGATGCTAATGTAGTACCATCAGGAGAGTAACAAATTGAATTAACATCACCTGAATGACCATCTAATTTTGCTTTTTATTTTCCCGTTTTAAGGCTCCATAAATACACAAATTTTCCGCTGCTGAAAGCTAAAGTACTGTTAGAATGTGAAAAGCATACTGATTTAACTTCTTCCTTTTCCTTGATTATAAACTTAACTTACCCAATTTTAACATCCCACAATATAATCGATTTATCATCACTACAAGAAGCTAATGACTTACTATCTGGAGAAAAGCATACCTAATTAACTCTTCCACAATGACCATCTAGTTTGTTTAACTCGTGAATTTTGATGTTTTTCCATTTACAATTAAACAAAAACGATTAACTCAAGTTCATTCCACTAATATCTACATTGTCAAATTCTGATCCATTTAAATTGCATCTTACAAAATTTCCACCAACTAAAGAGGTGTCTCTAATCCTGATATTCTCAAAAGCTTATTCCCTTAAATCAACCTTCATACAAACTAGTAAATTAAGAGAATTTGATCCACACTAAATATATCTCTCATCTAAAGAAGTAAGATGAACTAAAAATTTTAGGAATTCTAAAATCTACTTATCCAATTATATTTTAAAGATAAGATCCTTTTTAATTTCTTCATAATCATCTGTCGAGTAATTCTGTTTATTAAATTCATGATCCCTAATTTTTTTGAGAACATCCGTTATTCTCTTAATGTTCTTCTCTCCATTGAGAGTCTGTTCTTTATCAAGCAGAGATAAATTTTCTACCTTTTACCTTTCTATTTCTAGAAGGAATTTATTTTGATCCTATGAGAGAAATTCTAAGCAGTCTTAAATTCTCTCATTTTTTAATATGTAAATGAGGATAGGGAGGACTACTCCATCAACCTCTTTGGATAAGGCCAAGACCTTATAAAACTCTCCAACTTACTCTTTTTTGTGGTGCATTTACTTTTTTTTAAAATAATATTGAATTTCTATGACTTTAATTTGAGTTTTATATTGCAAACTAAGAAGTATCTTAATTGGTTTGGAAAATATATAATTTTTTATGTTTTTGGAATTAATACGAAACTCGCATAATCGAATTACTTAAACTCACAATGGGTTAAACCTTAGGATTTATGTCAAATCTATCGAGTGAAACATTTTCCTCAGTTAGATTTTTTTAAAAGCTAAGTTTTAACTTAATCAAGCGTATGTGACTGATATAAATATTATTTCTACAAGTTATAGATTATATTAGTATGTATATATATAAAGTTTCTGAAAATCTAATACATCTTTCTCATTTGAAGATTTTTTTGCATTCAGCCATTACTGATTTCTACTATATTTTTAAGAATTATCCATTTAGTTTTTAATTGAGTTCATTCTCTAAATTAAATTGAGATATAAATAATGATCGTAATCATATCCATTATATCAAAAAACTCTTCTTTCAATATTAAAGCTCCTTAAGCTTCCAAATTTGGAGTCTAGAAGATATTTAGAATGGTAATATGAGGGTTGGTCAAGACTGGCATATAACTGTCTCTCTATGAAGCCAGTAATGTGGTTGGGCTGATGGAAAAATACAAGTTTGCCAAACCCCTACTGGGATAGGCGATGAAATTGGTAATGGCTATGAAATAGGGGATTTTTGCGAAACAGATTTACTATGAGTAAACGCATTCCATAGGGGAAAATATGAGATAAATAGGGGATTAAAGAGGAGATGAAAAATAAAATAAATAGGAAATAAAATAGGGGATGAAATAGGCTTTGAATATTATCATATTATAATTTTTTCTTAACATCAATTAAATATTTTCAAAGATTTCCACTTTTAATTAAAGTATTTTACCAAATATATTGAACTACCCATTTATCCAGGTATTCAAATATTGATCCTCTAAATATTTTGATGCAAAAATAAAAAATTATCTTAACAAAATNTTGGCTTTTTATTATCCTGTCTTAACATCCCATAAATGGATAGAGTTATCATCACTACCAGATGCTAATGTAGTACCATCAGGAGAGTAACAAATTGAATTAACATCACCTGAATGACCATCTAATTTTGCTTTTTATTTTCCCGTTTTAAGGCTCCATAAATACACAAATTTTCCGCTGCTGAAAGCTAAAGTACTGTTAGAATGTGAAAAGCATACTGATTTAACTTCTTCCTTTTCCTTGATTATAAACTTAACTTACCCAATTTTAACATCCCACAATATAATCGATTTATCATCACTACAAGAAGCTAATGACTTACTATCTGGAGAAAAGCATACCTAATTAACTCTTCCACAATGACCATCTAGTTTGTTTAACTCGTGAATTTTGATGTTTTTCCATTTACAATTAAACAAAAACGATTAACTCAAGTTCATTCCACTAATATCTACATTGTCAAATTCTGATCCATTTAAATTGCATCTTACAAAATTTCCACCAACTAAAGAGGTGTCTCTAATCCTGATATTCTCAAAAGCTTATTCCCTTAAATCAACCTTCATACAAACTAGTAAATTAAGAGAATTTGATCCACACTAAATATATCTCTCATCTAAAGAAGTAAGATGAACTAAAAATTTTAGGAATTCTAAAATCTACTTATCCAATTATATTTTAAAGATAAGATCCTTTTTAATTTCTTCATAATCATCTGTCGAGTAATTCTGTTTATTAAATTCATGATCCCTAATTTTTTTGAGAACATCCGTTATTCTCTTAATGTTCTTCTCTCCATTGAGAGTCTGTTCTTTATCAAGCAGAGATAAATTTTCTACCTTTTACCTTTCTATTTCTAGAAGGAATTTATTTTGATCCTATGAGAGAAATTCTAAGCAGTCTTAAATTCTCTCATTTTTTAATATGTAAATGAGGATAGGGAGGACTACTCCATCAACCTCTTTGGATAAGGCCAAGACCTTATAAAACTCTCCAACTTACTCTTTTTTGTGGTGCATTTACTTTTTTTTAAAATAATATTGAATTTCTATGACTTTAATTTGAGTTTTATATTGCAAACTAAGAAGTATCTTAATTGGTTTGGAAAATATATAATTTTTTATGTTTTTGGAATTAATACGAAACTCGCATAATCGAATTACTTAAACTCACAATGGGTTAAACCTTAGGATTTATGTCAAATCTATCGAGTGAAACATTTTCCTCAGTTAGATTTTTTTAAAAGCTAAGTTTTAACTTAATCAAGCGTATGTGACTGATATAAATATTATTTCTACAAGTTATAGATTATATTAGTATGTATATATATAAAGTTTCTGAAAATCTAATACATCTTTCTCATTTGAAGATTTTTTTGCATTCAGCCATTACTGATTTCTACTATATTTTTAAGAATTATCCATTTAGTTTTTAATTGAGTTCATTCTCTAAATTAAATTGAGATATAAATAATGATCGTAATCATATCCATTATATCAAAAAACTCTTCTTTCAATATTAAAGCTCCTTAAGCTTCCAAATTTGGAGTCTAGAAGATATTTAGAATGGTAATATGAGGGTTGGTCAAGACTGGCATATAACTGTCTCTCTATGAAGCCAGTAATGTGGTTGGGCTGATGGAAAAATACAAGTTTGCCAAACCCCTACTGGGATAGGCGATGAAATTGGTAATGGCTATGAAATAGGGGATTTTTGCGAAACAGATTTACTATGAGTAAACGCATTCCATAGGGGAAAATATGAGATAAATAGGGGATTAAAGAGGAGATGAAAAATAAAATAAATAGGAAATAAAATAGGGGATGAAATAGGCTTTGAATATTATCATATTATAATTTTTTCTTAACATCAATTAAATATTTTCAAAGATTTCCACTTTTAATTAAAGTATTTTACCAAATATATTGAACTACCCATTTATCCAGGTATTCAAATATTGATCCTCTAAATATTTTGATGCAAAAATAAAAAATTATCTTAACAAAATTTATCGATTTCAATATTATCCTTTACTTTAAATTTATCAACTAGCTCAAATAATTGTGCTCATACTATATAAAAAGGTGTTATCTAGTACAACTTTTAGATTAATGTTAAAACACCTCCAATGTTATTAATAATCACATCAAATTTTTCTCTTTTAAAAGTGAAATGTGATTTAGCTACCTTTGTAGAATACTATATAAATTATATAATCTTTATTTAATGTCATACCTAAGGTACTCTCATTGACTCGGGTTCTGTATTATGGCAACTCTGTTTGTTAAATGCTTCCTTCAGAATAATAATCTTGTTTGGATTCCTATGGACCTTGCGTATCATATGGGGATTCTACATACTTGTGGAATTATTTTTTCAATATGTTCCAATAGTGCTCGACAAACATAAATGTGGAAATTGCAGAATTTTATGAGGAGATAGAAAATTGTGAATGTGTTGCAGAGACAGATATTGAAAAGATAAATGTTACTTAATCATATGAAACTTCAATAGATGTTAAGTAATTCCACAATTGTTCATTAAGAATCACTTACGGAAACATCTAATAAAAACAATTAGATTACTTAGATGTGGTTGTTCGAGATTTACAATTTATCAATTGTATGTAAAATTTAAAATAAGAAAAATATCACTCAAGCTGTTAAGAATGTGATGGTCCACTAAGTATCATTGCTTAACTTATTCTGTGGCATCAAAAAGGATATATACTTCAGAAGTTAAATAATGTGCTTGTACATACGGAACAATTGATGATAATAATGTATGCTTTGATTATTTGGACTAAAATTTAAATTGAGTAGGCTACTTTGAATTTAATGGAGATTGTAAAAATGTTTAATATATTCAGTATTATTGTTTAGCCCTTTAGGAATCTAAAAGGTTTCTTAGTTTCTGTTGAATGTTTTAGAAATGTAAATACATGGAGCCAATCACCAAATTGCGAAACAATTTTAGTGCTCACTAAAACATCAGGTATAAATAAATCACTTTATCTGCAATCGAAAATTTTAATTTTTATGACTCTTCTGATATTATCGCTACTAATATCCCTAATTATGACAGTTTTGGGATTAGTATTCAAGATGATATTCCCTTGTATTAGCATTTTAGATTTAGCACTTAAATTTTCATTTCTTTTTGTAATACATTTGAACCCACGATGTATGATTAACATTTATGTTATGTTTACAATTACGAACTTTGCTTGAGTTGCAGTTTAAAAATAAATAACGATTTTTTGTGTTTAAAATGTTAAGATCAATATTAACTTGGTGTTGGTAAACGTAAAGATAGTGAAAATTTTAATTATGCATCATGTTTTGTACATTAAAAAATTGCCTGTATTGTTTTGAATATAGAGATTATATGTGGATTGATGAGCTTAGCATCTAATACAAAAATTTATTTCAGTGAGACTGAGGTCATATTGGTTGTATGCTATGTGGAAAAGATTATAACTTTAATTTCAAACTTGGAAAATGTTTAAAATATTTTCCATCAATAAAGAATTGGGTGACATCTGTTACAAAAATAAAAATGAAGAAATAAAGTTTAGCATCTTATTTAGATAATTTTCAGGTTTCAAGATAGATTAATCGTTGCGATTCATAAATACACAATTGTTCAACCTGTTTTCTTGATTATAATAACAAATTAATATGCATAACATGCATATTTGGTTATATATAATTTGATGGAATCTGCTATGAAAGTTAAGAATAAAGTGTGTCTTATTTAATTGAATTTGAAATTTGAAAGTAAGAAGTTTTTAATTAACTTTTCTTATTATTTAAATTATTAAGAACCTCCTTAATTCTATCCATGTGGAAATTTGTGTAAAACTTTGCAAGTTCTAATTGGGAGAGTATTATTGCGAATAATGTTATGACGCAGATGAATATAAAGTTGAAAATGTCATAAATTACATGTGTTAAATATTTCAGATACTTTATAATTTTAGGTAAATATATATTGATGAAAATTAGAAATAGCGCCATTCCTTTATCCCACAGAGTATTCCACCAAATCTCCAAAGAATTTTGTGTTCCCTTTTAGAGATCCTTTTATTAAATAAAACCTTATTTATAAACTACTTCATGTTGTTTGGAAGGTGATTGCAATAATGAACTGACTTATGAATTTATTTAAGATAGTTGTTTTTTTAATAGATTTCCAAGAACCTAAATAACCTTATTTTTCAACCAGAATATTTGAATAGTATTGGAGATGTTTCTATGATCATCATTATCAGAATTGAAATAGAAAATGAATATTGTAATCTCTCGCCTTAACTAGTAACAAAGGCTTCCTTAAAATTTTATGTGTTTACTTTATAGATTACACATTTGAAATTACAAGCAACTCATCCCTTTTACTTCTATATTTCGAATGCTTTTTCTATCTAGGAATACGATTCCTTTACAATGATTGACTATGGGATTGTTATCCCTCACTTCAATCATAGAATCTTAATTTCAGCAATAGCTATAATGAAATTTTACATTGATAAACATTACTATAAAGGATAGCATAATTGAAAAAGCTCAATCCTTATCTAAGACAAAGAACTTTGGTTACGTAGAGTTATAAAATATATCAATAATCAATCCTAACTTTATTAGCTCATCACTTTTCAACTTTAACATATTTAACTTAATTGGGAATATTAGAATCAATTAATTACATTTATTGAATTGTAATTTTATTAACTCAGTATTGTTTGAATTTTCTTACACCCAATTACCAATTAACTCTAAGTATGGATTAATGCTCACTATAAAATTCCTCTATTTTTAACTTTTTCGTTAATAATCTCATAGTTATTCAAATATATCTTTAGAGCATATAAATTTATAAATCTTATTTTTAATCATTCATATTATTTTTATTGTTCATAATAAATTGATGTTATTGCAAATAATTTAGCCTTTAATTTTAATGAATTATTGGATTCTATTATATTTGGATTTAGTTCTTGTTTAAATTCTTCTTACATTGAAATTAAGAACCATATGTTTATTGAATCTTCGTCTATGTCAAAAATCTAAATGATAAGTCAATAACTCGCATCTTGTAATTTAATGTAATTAATAATTAGAAATAACAAATTCTAAAATTAAAATTTGTTTCCATTTTTTTCAGAATTTTAGACAGGTGATATTCTAATTAGTCTAGAAAATGTAAATATTGAATATAATGAAGGATTAATTACTCTCAATCAGGTAAGTTTCTTGTTTAATATTAATGGAAAGTCAATAATTTGAACAACTTTTCAATTTCTTAAACAAAAAAAGTTATTATCCTCTATTTCTTTGAAAGTCAGAATATTGAACTAGACAACTTTATTTTTGAGAATTTTTAAATAGAAGAAAGATATCTGTCTAACAAACTGTTTATAAAATCCTAATTAAAAAAATTAATTAATTTCAATAAATGGGTTTAATAAAGTTTCTATATCTAATTTTAAAATAAAGTATATGTTAAGTATGGATGAATTAATATTATTTCTAGTAACTAATATTTCGAAGAACAACTAGGTTAAATAATAATTATAAATATTGAATTTTATGGTAATCTCCTACA